CCCCCCCCCACTGCGGCCCGGGAGCGGGCGCGGGCGCACGCGAGGTCGTGTCTGTGTCCACCCGCGAAGCCCAGGTTGAGGCCACTCGGAAGGGGGACGAGTGGAAGGAGCGACTAGTGAAGGCTGATGCCCAGTGTCCTGCTCACGTCCCTCCTCACAGGGACGGCCGGCATGTGTCACGGACTCGTGAGGGACAGGCCAGGCCCCGAGTGTCCAGGCAGCAGAGCGCCTGCCAGGGGTCGGAGTCCGCTGGCCTCTCAGCCTCCTCTCACCCAGAGACTCTGTCCTTGCGGCCTGAACCCCCTCCCCGGGGGCCTGGACTCTGCTCCCTCTGCTGCCCTCGGGCCCGGCTGCGTCCTGGCCGCCCCTGGGGTCTCTGCCCCAGCCTCTGGGGGCCGCAGGTTCATGTGGTGAGCCTTCTGGTTGCTTTTGGCCCATGGACGCTTCTCCTCTTAAAGAAAAAGGAGGCTGGAGCCACGTCTCCCTAGGGAGGTGCGGCATACTGCCCGCCGCCAAGCCTGGCTGAAAAGCCTCGGGCCAAGCAGGCCTCCAGGCCTTTGCTTCCGCTTCACAAGCAGACGCTGCCGTTGAGAGAGGCTGCGTTCAGACTGCTCCGGAGCAAAGCCGCCAACCTGCACAGAGAGGGTGCTCTGTGACCTGGAGACGGTCGCTCTGGTAAAAGCACTGGTTTGTTCACAAGAACTGGACAGAATCCTCTGCACAGGGAAGAAATAGGTCCCTCTGTGCCCCCGCACGCGTCCCAGAGATCACAGAGCGAGAGGTGGCAGCGCTGCTGCAATGTGGTTGGTCTGGAAAGGAGAGTGGGAGCCCCAAGGTCTGGCCTTGCTCTGCCTTTTGAAAGTCTAAGAAAGTGCGATTGCAGGGATCCCCCCTTTTGGTGTGCACTGCGTCAGTTCCCCAGGGGACAGGCCGCGTGGTGACCTGGGCCCTTCCTTGGGGGTAGTGTCACCTAAGGTTATTCTCCTAACCTATAAAATGTGGGTAATCATGCTACCTCGTGGGAATTGCTGAGAGGATGAAATGAGGTGATCTGTGTAAAAGGCCTTACCCGGTAACTGTTATTACTATGAATTTTGTTTTATCCTGGCAAAACCCTGTAAGAAGACGAATTACAGATCAAGAAGCAGAATTTGAGAGGATAAGGGTTTCCCGGCTAGTAGTAATTGAGTCAGAACCTGAGCCTGGCTCTAGGTTTCCTCGAAGCCTTCCCGGAGGAGATGATCTGGGTCTTCAGGGTAAACCTGAGTTGTGGAAGTGGAGCTGATGGCTCCGTGGTTGTGGTGACAGGCAACACTGATGCAGCGCAAACTGCTCCCAGCCAGGGGCTTAGCACGGGGTCGGTATCCCCTCGTTTAATCCCCCGTCGTCCTGTGGAGTAGGTGGTAGTATTACCTCTGTAATTCAGACAAGGAGATTGAGGCACAGAGAAGTTAAGTGATTTGTCCAAGTTACTCAGCAGTTAAGGGGTGGAGCCAGGATTGGAACCCTGAAGCCCGGCCAAGCCTGTGCACGTGGAGAACAGTCTGCTTTTGTCTGGAGGATGGGCTGGCACAGCAACCCTTGTGTGGACCTCCAGACGGGGCACAGGCAGCCTCGGGCCTGGAGGAGAGAAACCCTGAGGCGGCCTTACTGGGGGACCTGGCCGGCCCGCAGTGCTGATGGTTTCCAGGGACTTTTCCCTCCTTTCCCTGCTCAGGTGCTGGAGGCCGGCACGAGCGCCCTGAAAAGGCCAGAAGGAGAGCCGACTGGCTGGAGAGCCCGGTGGAGCTGCTGCCCGCTCTCCTTTCCTGGAGAGGCTGTGTCCTGGCCTGCGTCTAGCGACCTTGGAAAGTAGACCTCAGGGCCCAGTTCAGTGTCTTAGAGGCATCTTTTCCTTTATTTTTCAAAGGGCTTAAGGAAGGGCATACCTATCTCTCCTTACCTTTTTCCAGAGATGGGAGCCTCTCTCTCTTTTCTGAGGTAGCATATAAGAACAAACCTCGCAGGCCTGGGGCTACTCACCTGTGTGTTACTGTGCGGCGGTGGGGAAGAAACCAGCTTCAGTGCACAGTCCTGGTCCTTGTGTAGTTTTACTTATTTACACTTGACCTTTCTCTCCAAATCTCATTCCCCCGAACTCATTTCTGTTACTTCTCCCTGCCTAGCTACCTGTCCATCCATCCATCCTTCTGTCCACCCATCCATCCATCCATCCACCCAGAGTAAGCAAATACTTTGACCTTGAACATGTGAAGGAAAGACCCACTCTCTCTGTCACTCACCTGCTGTCACCGTGATGCTGCAAGGTGGTGACAGGACACTTCCTTACTTGCAGGAGGTGGGCGGGTCTTGTGTGACCACACACATGAAGATGAGAAGTTCAGGATGTGACGAGCAGGGCACTGGGCAGGGGCGGATGTGGTAGTGCTGTGCTATTTTACCCTGTCTTTTACATATGTTATTACTGTGGTTTCGCGTC